AAGCATTAGATTTAGATAAAAGATTATTTTTGCACATCTGTGTGATTGCACAATAAGCTGTATCCACTGAATTTTGTTATAGAAGTTATACTTGATTTTTCGAGGCAATTCCTGTTAATACGGTAAAGTGCTTTACTTGAATATCTAAAAAAACTAACTGCAGAGACTTACTAAATTTTTTCTTTCCATAGCTTCTTTCAGACAGGTAAGCGCTCTCTGAACTACAAAAGCCACTGGAGTCAGAGATTCGATAGTCTACAGATCTGAAATAAAACAAACATATCAACATAGAAAATATTCTTGAAACCTATTTGGCCATCCTTCTTACTTGTTATTGGACTTGTAGGAAAACACTGGTGGAGTGGGTAAATCGGGAAAATGAAACTGTGATTCTTGCGGAGGTGGTGGGGCGAATCCATTCTCGTAAGGGTTTGCTTTGTTTGGACGAAAGTTAAAGAGAACTGGGGACGTTGATTCTGAAGAGATGGTCATGACTGCATTTTTTATGAATAAAAGCTTAGGAAAGAATCCTATTACCAGATCTTCGCCGAGTTCCATCAATTCTGCCCACGTATTTCTCTACTTCTTCATCGCTTGTTGTCTCTTCTAATATTCGATTATCATGAAGTGATGGCAGAAGTGAACACGTAGCCAGATCTTGCGGTAAATCACTAAAATCTTCATTCAGAAGTTAAAAAGAAACCTAGGGGCCAGTAAAAATAATAATCGCACCGAGCATAAGTGTTTGCGTCGCTTCTCTCGAGTTCCTTGCTAATAATCTCAAGTCGTTCGGTTAAGACTGATGCAAACGCCTCACGTGCTTCAGGTATATCATGTCGGATAGAACCATCGCTGTGCTGGAAAACAATGTTTCCAAAATCGTTTTTGAAAAAGGCGCAAAACAGTTCCAGAAACCGCTTATAAAAGACAACGATCTTGCTCACATCTACGATTTGTTGCATGTGGTAAGCCAGATGGGCCGGCTGGTATACGGATCAAACAGAAAAGAGAAAGGGGAGTACGGTTAAACATTCACTGAGACATCTAAGAAATTATAACAAGGTCACTAAGCTACGGTAAA